ATCCCCAAATTGTAAGTCGCTTTGGATAAAAGCGTCTGCAAAATGACTAAATGTAAATGTAAATGTAAAATTATTATTAGAAAAACTAAAACCATTAAAAACATTTTCGTTACATTAAATAAATTTAAATTAAATTAAATAACATTTTTTTAAACTAAACTTGCCAGCTAGTTTCTCATTTTAATTTAGTTTAACCTGATGTACTAAAATTACTAAAATAAATAAAAATTAAACTATATAGACATACTTAAAAAAAGTGTAAAAAATAAATAAAATTAAAATAAAAAACTATATATAAAAAAAAAAAAAAAAAAAAAAAAAAAAAAAAAAAAAAAAAAAAAAAAAAAAAAAGTATTAAATGAAAAAAACTATTTTTTTAAGTTTATCTAAAATTTAACTATAAAAATAATAATAAATAATTCAAGTAGTAGTATAGATTTAAATGCCATGTCAGCATCTGAGGCTATCTTCATGGCAAAAACTGAGTAGCAAAAACACAAAAAATAAAAACCAAGCAAAGAGGAAAAAAAACTATTAGGATTATACAAGATGTTTACATATGATAAAAGATGTTTACAAGATATACATAATTCTAAAACCTTTCTTATCTTACTAAACTCCTATCTTACTAAGCTTCCTACATACATTGTCTACTTGCATTAAAAGTGGATCAGTTCAATAAAATAGGTTTAATGGAAAGAGAGGGTCTTACAAAACATATATAGAGTTGGGTCTTCACCTTTAAGCAGAAATGCATGAGTCAAAACTACCTCAAAATATTAATAAAGCTATAATAATATCTCAATGATACTAAAATAACACTGACAGCAACATTCTTTCATAATAATTAGCTCGGAGCAACAACAATTGCAATCTAATGATGATGATATCATGATTCATCCTGACATATGTATCACAGTGAATCATAGTGTGCGCTAGTTTGTGCGTGACTCACTCGGCATGGAGTTCTCTGGGCTGCGCAGCAGAGCTTTCTGTAACGAGGGCAGCAGCTGCTCCTTAAACTCTGTGTGAGACATGTGGCGAAGCATCGAGCCGCTCTTATCCTGAAAACACACATCCAGCTTTAGGCTTTCTGATTTCGGCACTGCAAAGATTTATTATACAACAAAGACAGCGCAGATTCTCACCAGGATGTGCTGATGCGGTCTGGTCTTACTCATGAGAACCGTCTTCACGTACAGGTCCAAGAGAGCCGCCTGAAACACAACAGTGTTGCTACTGTTAAAACTAAAGAATACTCGCTAACTAATAGCAAACTAACAGTTAAACTAGTAAAAATAGTTTTCGTTCAACTAAATAATGCTGAAAGAAAAAAGAAATAAATTAGATGCTTAAATTCTTCAATTTAAACTTAACTTGAAAAAACTTAAATTCAATTAATTAGAAATGTTGCTTTGGCACCTAACTGGAATAAACAAGTTTAAAGTACTAAAATTACTAAAACTGGAATAAAAATAAATTAAAGCTAAACAGAAGTATATATAATAAAAAAAAACGAATAAAAATGACAAAAGCACATAATAAAATTAATAAATATTAAACTAAAATTAAAATACAAAAATAAAAGCTAATTGAAAATATTAATACCGTATTTTCCAAAAAAATAAGTCACACCTGAGTATAAGCAACATCTGGGAAAAAATGCATTATTGAGAGGAAAAAAACAAAACAATAAGTCGAATTGGTGTCCAAGTCACGCGTTATTCTATAATAATTTCAAATATCGGCAAATGAAATGTTTAGACACATTATGAACACTAAGCATTCATTCTAAACAACATTTATCCCATTATAAACAAACCTATAAAGCAAAACGGCGTTGGGCTCACATCTCTCTCGCACTCTCTCGCAAGTCGTAGCACATTTCAGATGATAAAAAACTAGACTTATATACTGTGACTTATACAAATAGTAGAACTGGAATATAAAAAAACCTTTAAATAACACTGAATCAGAAGCAGCAGCGCAGTGGACACATTTGACAGGTTTAGCACAGGAATGACAAGGGCTTGAGTCCAAGTCACGCGTTATTCTATAATAATTTAAAATATCGGCAAATGAAATGTTTAGACACATTATAAGCACTAAGCATTCATTCTAAACAACATTTATCCCATTATAAACAAACCTATAAAGCAAAACGGCGTTGGGCTCACATCTCTCTCGCACTCTGCACAAATCCAAACGTTTCCATATTCACAATGTAGCCTAAACATTTGATTGCTAAGCTACTATTTATTATGTAAACATTCTTTTTTATTATAGTACATTATGTATAAGTCGTAGCACATTTCAGATGATAAAAAACTAGACTTATATACTGTGACTTATACAAATAGTAGAACTGGAATATAAAAAAACCTTTAAATAACACTGAATCAGAAGCAGCAGCGCAGTGGACACATTTGACAGGTTTAGCACAGGAATGACAAGGGCTTGAGTTTTCCACCTTGTGTTTGTTGATAGTGGTGATGTCTTTGTGCGCTGTGCAGAAATCCACACACAAGCCCAGCAGCGGCACAGACACACAGCTCTGATCCAAACTCAGCAGAGTGCTCATGTACTGATCCACCAGACCCGGGTTCTGGAGAAACACAGACCGTTTATGAATTGAAATCTATAGGGTGCATGTTTTAAACAGATCACAGAAAGACGATTGTTATACTTCATCTGAACAATAGTAAAAATTTATTAGACGCAAGCTTTTACATTTACAGAGAAAGATTTAGGTTTAAAAAGTGTTTGGGGTCAATAGGATCTTTAAAAAAATGTAATTAATACTTTTATTCAGTAAGTATGCATTGAACTAATCAAAAGTGACATTAAAGACATTTATAATGTTACTAAAGATTTCTATTTCAAATAAATGCAGTTCTTTTGAACTTTCTATTCATCAAAGAATCCTGAAAACAAATGCATCACGGTTTCAAAAAAAAATAAAAAATGAAGCAGCTCAACTGTTTGATAATAATCAAAAAATGTTTGTTGAGCAGCAAATCAGCATATTAGAATGATTTCTGAAGAATCATGTGACACTGAAGACTGGAGTAATGATGCTGAAAATTCAATAAATTACACTTTACAATAGACTACAATAGAAAACAGTTATTTTAAATAGAAATAATGTCATAATATTACTGTTTTTACTGTATTTTTGATCAAATCAATGCAGCCTTGATGAGCAGAAGAGACTCTCTCTCAAAAACATTACAAATCTTAGCACCCTCAGTCTTTTTAACTGTAGTGTACAAGACGTCAGAGTGAATTCCTGTAGCTTTACCTCCTTCCACAGCTTGTTAAAGCATTTGCTGATTGACTTGAGAGCATTCCCTGAGGCTCCGCCCACCACCTCCGCCAGCAGCAAACTCTGAACCTCAACCTGATTGGAGGAGACACAAAGAGAGAATATGATTGGACAGACCACATGTAAAGATCGCAAAACAATAAAAAGTAAGCCATACAGGTTTGGAACTCCTGCTAAATTCAACTATGAATGATAAATATAGCAAATTAACTCTCTGAATGGCAAACACTACTGACCAGTTTCTTCCATTTTTCACCTTCTCTCCTGTCTGCGGAGGGGAAGACGGTCTGAACGATCAAGCAGGTCCAGGGCAGGGCGCAGCAGGCTCCTGAAGCCGTGCTCTTCCTGTGGACATTTGACATTATATCTGATTGCACCTCATGGTTGTTCGCGTCTGATAACTATTAGGGGTGCGACGATACATAAATTCTGCGATTTTCCGAATGCATCGCGATTCTCTCTGGAATCGATTCTGAGCTTAGTTTTTAACAGCAGATGGCGCTCTAGGCTAGTGTTTAACCGCTAAGAGCGCTCGTGCGTTCCGCGACGAAAAAGGGTTTAAAAGTGTAATACTGCTTTAAATTGTTGTTTTCCCTCAAAAAATAACACATTTTCTGTTTAATTTAATTGCAGTTTTGTTTTTCTGAGCAAAAAATAAACATCATACATTTTTCCCTGATTTACAGAAGAGACCCACTAAAATGTCATTCAGTGTAACAATCTTGTCAGACATATTTACAACAAAAATCAATTTATGACATATTAAAAGACTACTTACTTTCAAACCAAATACTAATTAGTTGTAATTTTACATTTTTTTAATTTGCCACTATCCTAAGTTTTGCCCATGTGTCAGTAAGAATTTTTTACGCATTTAAAACACAATCAAATTTAATATGCTCCCTTATTCTTTTACATATTTTAATATGTACACGTCAGAATAAGCATGTTATGTAACATTATTTCAACCAAATTTTGACATTTTATTCTCCAAAAACTTATTTGAAACCTTAAAAATAGACACTTTACTTACATTTAATGTGCTTTCTATGGACATAAAATCACTTTTCTACATTTCTTTTGATGCGGACATCTTAATGTCCTTGACCCATGTACATTCTACTCTACAATAATATATTTCCGTCACAGTTTTTTATTTTGATGGGTTGTCATGAAGAACTTTGAGTATCTGTTTGTATATAACATGACAATAGCTTTTCTCGAATGAAACGGTGAAATGCTGGTGAAGTGTCTCTCAGAGCAGCTCTGGAGATGAACTTCATGTGTTCACGTCCTCTTATAGTGAGACGGCAGACGCTTCAGCATGTGTAGAAGACGAAACTGCGGCGCTCAATCACACAGAGATACCCAGACTTCATATTAAATAGCAGTCCTTTGGCGTATTAATATTCAGACTCTATTTCATATCGTGATCTAATTCACTGTACAGTGCCACTTTTGATTTATTCATCTAAATTTTGCCTAATTTCCTGACATTCCATGTCAGTTTTTTTGACTGGATTCTGCGATTCCGTCCATTACAGAAATCACAGGGCTCTGTATAAATGCGGTGGTCACTCACCCGGGCATCACGCCCCTGCTGACCACCCCGCAGCTCAGCAGACCGGGAGGGAGGTTGGTCGCAATGGCATCAGGCTGCGATTGGACGAGCACCTCGATGACCGAGAGCAAAGCTCGCCGAGACGCAGCATCCCTGAGAAGAGAAATCAAGCCCACCCTCAGTATAAAAACATGCTTTAATGGACAGAGGAGAGGAAACGGCTCGCACTCACCTGTATCTGTGCAGAGTGAGATAGAAGAGCTTGCACAGTCCTTTAATGGCTGGCTCAGGAAGATCTGAGGAGAGATTTAACCACAAAGAATTAGAGGATTCAAATCAAAGTCATTCACACCGTCACATCATTCCAAACCCATATCTGAAGATGCACACGTGAGAACGCAGAGGTAACAGACACTACTGCTCAAAAGTAGAGTTTTTTTTTTAAAGAAATTAATACTTCTATTCAGTAAGGATGCATTAAACTGATCAAAAGTGACAGTGAAGACATACAGAAGATTTCTATTCAAATAAATGCTGTTCTTTTAAACTTTCTATTCAACAAAGACCCTCAAAAATAAAATGCATCACAGTTTACACAATGTACGGAGTAGCACAACTGTTGATACTAATAATAAATGTTTTTGAGCAGAAAATCGGCATATTAGAATGATTTCTGATGCTGAAAATTCAGCTTTGCATAACAGAAATAAATTACATTTTAACATATATTCAAATAGAAAACAGTTATTTTAAAATTCCAATAATATTTCACATTTTTACTGTATTTTTGATCAAATAAATGTTGTCTTTGTGAGCGGAAGAGACTCTTTCAAAAACATTTTTAAAAAGTAGTGCAGGACTTCTAATGACTTGAAATGTAGTGAGCAACTGATGCTTTAACAGTGTTTTTGTCACTAAACACGTCAAATTATTTCTTTAGTCGGATACAACAGCAGGCAGAAAAACTCACCCTTTCCTCTCACACAGTCCTTCAGTTCTTGAAGAATTTCTTTGCGCTCTTTAACGCTGGACGACGTGACTTTCACAGCGAATCTCTTCAGTGTGTCTGAAACCTGCCCCTGCAAACACAGAAAACAGCCATCAGACGCTGCTTAGACACATGCAGCTAAATCAAAATATGGATATCATATCACAGCTCACCACGGTAAACAGTGCTCCCACCACAATATTAATCACTCAATGTATTGTTACTATAAGAGAGCATGAGCTGACATTGTATTAGTCACCTGACAGACGGATATTCATTCGTTATGGTTTGATATTAGTAGTTCAGGCATGAATTAAGATTACCATGGTACATTTCCATAAGTGACTCCTTACACAAAGTACAGTGACGGCATCAGGTGATTGTTTGATCAGGTATTTACACAGCATTTTGAAGATTACCGTGATAATACACTGCTATATTTCCAACAAAAAAAACCACATGGTTTTACTAGGATACTATGTCCAGAAACATGGTACTTCTGGCACTTTCTACGGTGTGTTTGATAATAAGTGGGTGACACGCTTAAAACAGTATCGTTCTCTTTCAAAATACGGTTAAATCCTAATAAATGTGTGTGTTATGCAACTGTGCTATCATTAATGTTGTTTATCAGTTAATGCACATTCATGCACTAGCGCGCACGCAAAGCGTTTTCTAATGTATCTGAACATCACGCGCTCACAGATCATGCATCATCTTCTTTGAAAACTCGTAAGAAAGCGGCGAAATACAGAAGAAAAGTTAGCGTTTTAATGTTCACGCAGCAGCGGATCGAGTCACACCAACCTGCGTGTCCGCCGCCATCTTGCCGACCTCGATCTGGAAAGGATATAAGTCGTCACTTCCGGAGTCATTACCGTGATCAGCCACGTGCTTCTCCGGCCTTGAGTTTGTCTTTAGAGGGCGCCGGTCAGCACATCAAATATTCAACAGGCCTGAAACTTTTAAGTATATAAATAAGCATGTTCTCTTCTTTTCAACAAATTATTAGTAAATAAAATAATCAAACATGTTATTTAAGCTGTCCATTCTTTTTATAACGTTTTTTACCAATCAAAATTACATTTACATTTAGTCATTTAGCAGACGCTTTTATCTAAAGAGATAACATTAAATACAATTTAAATTTACATGTTATACATCCCCAAAGTAAAAATTAATAATAATAAAAAGGAAATAAGACGAAAATAATAACAAAATAATAGTAATAATAAATAATAAAATAATAATAAGAAAAAAGCTACAAAAAAGCCTAAATAGAGCTGTCGATTTTAGGGATCTACCCAGTGTGAGACAAAAATATTTTTTTTTTACCAATCAAAATTAAAGAGATAACATAACATAAAATAAAATAAAAATGTTAATACATCCCCAAAGTAAACAAAAAAAAAAAAAATATATATAATAAAAAAATAAATAAAAAAAAATGAATACATAATAAAATAATAACAAGAAAAAGCTACAAAAAAAAAAAAAAGCCTAAATAGAGCGGTCAATTTTAGGGATCTATCCAGTGTGAGACAAAAATAAGGTTGCCTGCCCCTAAATAAAAGTTAAAGTTATACACAATATGTGGGACACAAGTCCCATAGCTAAATTTATAGATATTTTGGAAAATGAAAACTAATCCACTACAAAGAAATAGAATATATATTGAGCAGATTGTGTCAACATTGCAATTGATTATTTATTAGATACGGCCAAAAAGACCAAAAAAGGTAGTAGATTTTACTGTTTTATGTACAAATGTCAAGACAAAATGTGCTGAGGTTTCAATATGATTTAAATAATAATAAACAACATCAGGAGGAAAAATATTCAGTGCATTAAAACACCAAATTTATTTGTATATAATTGCATGAATTGAAACAGTAACCAACACTCACAGAACAAAATGTGACGGTGTTACAGGAGAAAAAAAAATATGCATAGCTGTTTTCACATTGGGTAAATGATCATATTTGCAAAGGGACACCAAAAGAATGATTTATGAACAGAAATAGAAAAGCGTCAGATCAATTTATAAGATAGAAAATCTCAAAATAAACAAAGGCACAACATTCGACCAGTGTAAATGTGTGATTAAAACACATAAGGATATCATATGATCCCTATATTTCCACCGCACCTTTTTTTTGGCACATAGCAATTAGGAGCAAAACAAAACAGCGACAGATTATTACAATTGAGTTATCAAAGAAGGCATATTCAAAGTGAATCAAATCAAAACAAGTATCTTCTACTTTCAAAGTAGCGTTTTCTGATGAGACAGAATGTCATGTACAGATCTCTGGCACATCGGTCATATAAAAGCTTTCACATAATAAACACTTGCTGGTATATTTGTCCAATGAATCCAACAAATCATATTTGCAGTCTTTGTTGACAAGCCACACTGTTCCAACAGACACCAGGGACTGTATATATTTAATATTCTTAATCTGAAAATCACTTCTATTTCCAGTGACAACACGTTTCTAAAAATATAAGAAAGTCTTCATCGATTCACCCCTTCATAACACCACGAGTTTTCAAAACTCGCCCTTTAAAATGATTGAAAGACACTTAAGACTTTCATGCAAAACAGAAAAAAAAAAATCTAAAAGAGAGAGAAAAGAATTAGTATAATATCACAATATCATAATACAGCAGTTACAATATTGTCTAGAATTGTCTCTGAGAGTGAGCAAGACAATATCAGATACTCACTTGAATTCAAGGGTTGAGAATTGCACAATATTGTCACAGCTATTTAGATGAACAATATCACATCTTTGATTTCTGTTAAAGGAATAGTTCACCCAAAAATGAAAATATGCTGAAAAAGTGCTCGCCCTCAGGCCATCTAAGATTAGGATGAGTTTGTTTCTTCATCAGATTCGGAGAAGTGTAGCATTGCATCAGTGTCTCAGCAATGGATGCTCTGCAGTGAATGGGTGCCGTCAGAATGAGAGTCCAAACAGCTGATAAAAACATCACAATAATTCACACCACTCCAATCCATCAGTTAACATCCTGTGAAGCCAAAAGCTGTGTGTTTGTAAGAAACAAATCCATCAAGACGTTGTTAACTTCAAATGCTTTTGGCTAAAATACGAGTTTATAATTCATACGAAAACTTCCATCAGTGAAAAAGTTGTCTCGTCTAAATTAGGAGAGAAATATGCACAGATCGAGCACTTAAAAAGTTACAAACATGCAGCTTTTGGCTTTACAAGACATTAACTGATGGACTGGAGTGGTGTGGATTACTGTGATTTTTTTATCAGCTGTTTGGACTCTCATTCTGACGGCACCCATTCACTGCAGAGCATCCATTTCTCCAAACCTGATGAAGAAACAAATTCACATCTTGAATGGCTAAGGGTGAGCACATTTTCAGCAAACATTCATTTTTGGGTGAACTACTCCTTCGAGTGGATCATTAGAATCATTAGTGGTTTTGTAGTGACTGTTTTGTGAATAAAACCTAAATAGTCAATCATTCTATACTACAAAAATTTTCCCAAAATGAAATATGTGACTGGCTCCTTCAGGGGAATAGTCTGGAATATTCTGGGTTAAATAATAATAAAAACCTAAGCTCTATTGACACCAGATAATATAGTTTAGATTTATCAGTGTAAAAATGAAGGAAATATATGTTTACAGTGGAACCAGTGTCATGGTTATACTTTGAAAACTGTAAACACATTTTTGCCTTTGATTTAAGAAATTAAAGAACAAATAGAAATGATTTTCTGTGGCTTAAATTGTATTTAATCCCATATATTCCTTTAATAAAAGAATACTTTGAGATGAGATGCATAAACTCCAGCGAATTCCACACAAGACGGCAGCAGAAGTGAGCATTAACAGTAGGATACATTCATATCTATGGGTTCCAGATGTCAGTAATAATTAAACTAATCATTAGAAGTTACTACACAGACTTCATGAGGAATAATCCGAACTTCAGTCTCTCAATTACAACTTCACCATAGATTAGAAACTTCATGTTATATCTTGTATGCAAAACTACACGTTTGGTATACTTTGTCTTTTAAATTCAGTTAAATTTGTGTTACAAAACAAGGCACTAAAAGTAGCAATTCTTTGAGGTGACAATTAATGCTAAAATGATGCAAATGCGGCAACTAGATGTTTTCATAGCAAGAACATATCCGGGCCATATTTCACACCTAAATAAAAAGAAAGAACGATAAATTATATTTTGCGTAAAACTAAATGAAGCCTATTTTAGGAGTAATAACAATGAAGGATTTATACTTTATATTACTATTTGTTTTACTGAGTTTAAAACAACAACAACATTCTGAGTATTATTAGTAAACAAATTTTTTTTTTAAAGAAATACAACAATAATACTAATAATAATAATAATAATTATTATTATTATAATTATAAAAATGTTGTTATTGGACAGGATATTTTTTCATTATATTACAGTAATGAGAATGAGATTTTATCTGTAACACAATAATGAAAAATAAGGTAGAAAATGTGTTTGTTTCTGAAAATAATGTCACAATGCAAAAAAAACAAAATATGTATGTATATATATATATATATATATATATATATATATATATATATATATTCTTAAAATGGCTTAAATGTTTTTAATGGAAAATATAATTTCTTATCTTTCCTCTTGGTTTCAGACTGAAATATGACCTGGATTCGTTCATGAGAGTCACCAGTAATTATTGGCTCTAGTTGGTTATTCGTTTGAATTCCAGTCACTCATTTAGCGGTTTTCATTTACCTCTGTTGATTGTGTCTCATACGTTCATGCTGCACACGTTTCCCATCATCCCTCCTGAACTGTTCTCATCATCAAACAGTTTCTGGCCAGCTCATCCAGTGAGCAGAAAACATTCACACACTTTCTCTAAAAAGAACTCTACAGTCTCAGCTGAACTTTCCTCTAATACCCTCTAAAAACAGCCTGGCTTTTGACAAACATTATTTCTGTTTTTTACTGTATTTTTTAATCAAATGAAGGCAGTAGAAGAGACTACTTTTAAAAACATTAAAGAAATTTAAATTATTCCAAACTTTTGACCAAGTCTATATTCAAAACTAAAGCAACAGACCACTTAAAAAAACATTATCATATACTAACCCTGCACACAAAACACTCTGGATGCCAGAGGGCACTCAGGGCAGAGATGTAATTCTCCAGGATGGCACGAGCACAGCCTCCACATTTAGGAGCAAAGAGATCGAAGTAGTCTTTACGACAGTACGCCTTTCCATCTTTCTCATGAAATCCTGAAAAATAATGGAACAAAGATGTATTTACAACAAGTATGCAATAATACAAACAAAGAAAAAATTAGTTTGGTGGCTTTTCGTCTGTGCCTGTAAGCTTAGAGGTCAACAGTAGAGTCCAAAAGTTGAATTTAATTACAAATTGTACAAATTGTGTAATTTCATTACACTGAGTGCAGAGTTCTTTTTAATTTCAGTATTTGTTTTGTCACCCTTTTAGTTTAAAGGGCACCCATTAAGCTTTTTTGGATTTTTAATGCAGATGTTTATGCAAAGTGTGAAATTTTCTAGCAAAAATTAAATTACAAACTTGTGAATGAGCAAAATATGAATAATTGTGGGTACTTGTAATGATCGGACTCTTCTGTAAGCATTTACTCACCTTCAGAACCGAAGAACGCCCCACACTGAGCACAGAAAAAGTGCTCGGGATGCCACGTTCTATCTAACGCTGTCACCACTTTCTGTGAGGTGAGAAAAATTTACATTTTTATCATCTGCAGCAAGCTGTCAATTACCACAGGAACCGATTTCCACTTGTGTCTCAAAAATCTAAATGAAAAACAGTAATCACTTACAATGGACGTGACACTAAATTAATGCATACAGGCTGCCATAATAAACACTGGCTTTGTTCGCACTGAACACAAATCTGGCCACATATAAATATGGATTGCATCGACTGAGTAAACATATTGAATGTGCTTATTCTGCTGTTCAGACTAAAAAATCGTTTGTTCTCACATCCAGTATGGGTCCGTTACAGTAGTAGCAGCGCGGAGAGAATAAATGATGGTAATCTCTCTCGCAGTATGGCTGTCCTTCCCTCTCAAAGAAGTTTCTGGAACCAATCTCCTCCTGGCAGTGTGTGCACACAAAATGCTCTGGATGCCATGTGCGCCCCATAGCAGTTACCACCTGTACAGAAACACACACATCCTTTGTTTAGATGTGTCCAGCTCTTTCTACCTAGACACACAGCATGCAATCTTAGCTTAGAATGTCTCTTCCACATTTAAATGGCAGCAGTTATGTCAGTTCTTAAAAAAAGCCAGGGAGTGATACTGCTGAAATATCCAATTACAGGCCTATTTCAAATCTACCTTTCCTGGAGAAAGTTCTTGAGCGTGTGGTTGTTGGCCAACTGCAGCATCATCTTTCTATGAACAGTCTTCTAGAAACATTTCAATCCGGGTTTAGGTCTGGACATACCACGGAGACTGCTCTATTGAGGGTTATGAATGACCTACTCATTATAGCGGATTCTGGAGCTTGTGGCATTTTGGTTTTGTTCGATCTTAATGCTACATTCAATACAATATGTCATGCTACATTACTGGACAGACTTCATAGGTGGGTTGGTATTTCGGGCACTGTGTTTAACTGGTTTGAATCTTACCTTTCAGAATACTCCTAATTAGTTTTTCTGGGTACTAATAGATCTCAGACGGTTCCATTGTGACAGGGTGTCCCTCAAGGGTCAGTCTTGGGTCCTATCTTATTTAGTGTTTATATGCTGCCTCTGGGGCAGATTATCCAGAAGTATGGCCTTGGCTATCATTGTTATGCGGACGACACCCAGATTTATATTAGCCTGATCTTGTTCCTGCCTCTTCGACTCTCTCTGATTATTTGCTGGAAATTAAGGCATGGATCAAAAACACAACTTTCTTAAACTCATTGTTATAAAACTGAAATCGTATTAATTGGTACTCTTACTAATGTTAATAAGTAACAGTTTTAAACGTACTGTTGACAATAGCCAAGTATCCACTTCTGTCCAGGTGCGGAACTTGGGGGTGATTTTTGATGCTCATCTGACTTTTAATGCTCATTTTAAAAACATTACAAAGGCTGCTTTTTTCATTTTCGGAACATTGCCAGTCTTAGACCTTTTCTCTCTAGGCCTGATGCAGAGAGGCTTGTTCATGCCTTTATTACATCAAGGCTTGATTATTGTAATTCCCTTTTTGCAGGTTTATCAGCAAATTCTATTAAGAGGTTGCAATATATTGAAAATTCAACTGCACGTGTTTTGACTTATTCATCTTCACGCCACCACATTGGTCCTGTGCTTCGGCAGCTGCACTGGCTCCCAGTCCAATCATGCATTGATATTAAAATTCTTATTTTGGCTTATAAAGCAGTACATGGGTTGGCTCCAGTTTACATCCGTGATTTGGTTACACCATCTATGCCCTCTCGTTCTCTTCGTTCTGCTGGCTCTCTCTCCTTTATCAGCCTTATTGTAATTAAAAAAGTTATAGAACGCATTACCTATATTTATTAGGAATGTTTATTCTCTTGATTGTTTTAAAAAACTTCTTAAGACATCTTTTTAGTGAAGCTTTTAATTTGTAACTATAACTGTGATCTTTGATTTTTTATATTATGTTTTGTTTTTATTTCTTGTTTTGTTTCTGTAACCGTTGTAGCGCTTTGAGTTTGAGAAAGGTGCATTACAAATAAAATGTATCATTATTATTATTATTAGCTGAAAGCTAAAATCCTCTGTGTGTTTGTGTTGTAGCTCTCTGCCTCCCTCACCTGGCCAACAATGGGTTTGCAGCAGGCGCCACACACTCCCTTAGCAACCGTCTGCACTCCCAGCTTGTGGAGGTCAGACTGAAGACTGCCCAGCATGTTGTCCAGTTTATTAACCTGTGGTTGCGGACCCTTATATCTAGAGGAAGACACCGATAAGACAGAAGACGAGAGAGAAAAAGATGGAAAGTAGGAATGAAGAAGAAAGAAGCAGGTGATTACAGAGAAACTTCAACGCAATTAAGCAAAAGAATTTCAGGAATTGAATGGAAACAGAATTTGCTGAATCCGTAGATCCTTCCCGTCTACCTTATCCACCTCCCTGTTGTGGTCTTCTCGTGAGCGTTTGGGGTTGGACATGACAATGACGCCTTCTGTGAGCCAATCGTCTGGCTGCTGCTTTTTCGGACGATCCTTACGGGCAATTCCCAGCTTGCCTTGCAGTTCCTCAATGAGCCGGTCCTGGGAGTTGCTCTTGTGGAAAATCAGGGGGCCCATCTTCCTTCGTCTCATTAAAATTCTTATTTTGGCTTATAAAGCAGTACATGGGTTGGCTCCAGTTTACATCCGTGATTTGGTTACACCATCTATGCCCTCTCGTTCTCTTCGTTCTGCTGGCTCTCTCTCCTTTATCAGCCTTATTGTAATTAAAAAAGTTATAGAACGCATTACCTATATTTATTAGGAATGTTTATTCTCTTGATTGTTTTAAAAAACTTCTTAAGACATCTTTTTAGTGAAGCTTTTAATTTGTAACTATAACTGTGATCTTTGATTTTTTATATTATGTTTTGTTTTTATTTCTTGTTTTGTTTCTGTAACCGTTGTAGCGCTTTGAGTTTGAGAAAGGTGCATTACAAATAAAATGTATCATTATTATTATTATTAGCTGAAAGCTAAAATCCTCTGTGTGTTTGTGTTGTAGCTCTCTGCCTCCCTCACCTGGCCAACAATGGGTTTGCAGCAGGCGCCACACACTCCCTTAGCAACCGTCTGCACTCCCAGCTTGTGGAGGTCAGACTGAAGACTGCCCAGCATGTTGTCCAGTTTATTAACCTGTGGTTGCGGACCCTTCCCCTGGGCCATAATCTACAGAGAGATAGAACAAAAGATCAAGAATCAAAAAAAGTCTTCAATGCAAAACAATTACACACAACCACCTAAGAAATTCAATAAGATGACAGTTTCTGAAGGAACAGAATTGGTTATATAATTACTATAATATTATGTTATTTTCTTCCAAGTTACAGTTCTTGATCATGTAAATATAAAATCTGGTGTATTTTTGTCAATGTCCCACTACACAGAAAAATGTCCCCAATTTACATTTTTGTCTTAAGCATATTTTGGACAAAATTTATGGATTACACCAAAACCGAACTGTGAGCGTATTCAAGATTTTATGATACTAATGACAGCATAATTTAGTAAAGAACTGTAATCCAATCACATCATTCACAGAGCAAATATTAACACCCCTAATCAATACAACACGGTCTCAAACTGAGTGTTTGTCTCAAACTCTCCCTGGGGCGCATCTAATCTAATCTAATATTTATGACCAGGGTAGGAGGCTGAGCACACACACAAAACATCTCCAAGCTCTCAAGCACACAACATTCAATTTACAAATCACAAGTTTTGTGATTGTTCTAGGAGAGGACAGTAAGACAGAAGCTCAGCCAATGACAGCACGTCTGCACCTGCAGTGGAGGGAAGAG